CTTCAGGGCAGATCTGATCCAGAGGTGCCCCTGAGGTCTCTCCCTTACATTTGTAGTGGAGCCAGGACTTCAAGAAAATGTGCTGCCGGCGAGCGGCAGAGCCCAGGCACGTCCCCATCTCCCCTCGTCCTGACAGCTTGTGCTGGTTTTGGCTGGGGTAGGGTTAATTTTCTTCACAGTAGCTGGTATGGGGCTGGTTTTGATTTGTGCTGGAAACAGCATTGACAACACAGATGTTTTCGTTACTGCTGAGCAGTGCTTACACAGGGCCAAGGCCTTTTCTGCCTCTCACCCCACCCCACCAGTGAGCAGGCTGGGGTTGCACAAGGAGCTGGGAGGGGACACAGCTGGGACAGCTGACCCCAACTGACCCAAGGGATATCCCGTACCATGTGATGTCATAGAATCAATTAGGTTGGAAAAGACCTTTAAGATCATCCAGTCCAACCATTAACCTAACATTACCAAGTCCACACTAAACCAATTAATGGTAGAGTAGACTAAACCATGTCCCAAAGTGCCACGTCTACCTGTTTTTTGAACGCTTCCAGGGATGGTGACTCCACCAGCGTTCATGCTCAGCAATAAAAGCTGGGGAAGAAGAAGGAAGGGGGGACGTTGGGAGTGATGGCGTTTGTCTTCCCAAGTCACCGTTACCCGTGATGGAGCCCTGCTTTCCTGGAGATGGCTGAACACCTGCCTGCCGGTGGGAAGGAGCGAATGAATTCCTTGTTTTGCTTTGCTTGCTTGCACAGCTTTTGCTTTACCTCTTAAACAGTTTCTGTCTCAACCCACGAGTGTTCTCACTTCTATGATTCTGTTCCCGTTCCTACCGGAGGGGAGTGAGGGAGTGGCTGTGTGGGGCTGAGCTGCCTACTGGGGTTACACCGGGACACAGCTCTTGGCTCTAGCTGGGCCGTTCCTCTCTGTAAGCACCGGTACCCCCCGCTGCAGCGTACTTGTGTGCCAGCGGTCATGCTTTGGGCTGCGAGAGCAAGGAGGTGCCTGAAGTGAAAGGTCTTGTCCGAGTGCGCAGGTGACAAGACTGTTGGCAGACGGCCGGTGAGCCTCTCGCCACGAGATTGAAAGCGCTGCTGTGACCTGGCACTGAGCCGCTGCCACGGTTGTGTGCGAATGCTGCAATTCAATGTCAGTTAAACTGAGTGGGCACCTGGACAGCTTTCCTCAGTCGTGGTCATCTTTTAACAGTGACCTTGGCCACAACCTTTTAGTATTACCTAATGTCATGCAAAAGAGAAGGGCCTGGGTGCAAGCAGACTACGTGACTCCTTGGAAAGCCAACTCTGAAGCACTGCACTGGAGAAACCCTTAGAGTTTTCCTTCAAATCCTTCGGTATTTCTTACCCATCTTCCACAAAGGAAGGAAAATTTCAGAAATGAAGGGAAATGTTACCTAAGAAGTAAAAACCCCTAATATTTCTCACTGGAGGTCCTTTTGGAAACTTTCCCCTAATGTACGCACCTTCCCAAGATGCTCTGTTCATTCAAACCCTGACAGCTTTGTTGACATGATTTAGCCAGCGCTTAGTGAGGTTCTCTTTGAGCGAGGTCGTGGTGTCTTCATTCGGAGAAGCAGAAGGGGTCTTCCTGCTCAGAGCATGGGAACAGAGAAGTTTCTCTAAAGGTGCAGGGACTGTCAAGGGCAAGGTGCGTGTCTTTTGGGAGGGGATAGGGATGGTCCAGTTGTAGGCATGTTTTGGCTGGGATGCACCTATACGTTTGCTTAAGGATATGCATGCCTTTGCTTAAAAACAAACAAAAAAACCCCACCAAAACAAAAAAAAACCCTGTGGTGGTCTTGGATGGTGGCACTTTCTAAGGTGCCTCTTCCATTCACTCTCTTTTCTGAGGCTCTTGGGCTTAGTTTTTCCGGCTCTTTATTTTTCTTAAGGTGTTCCTCTTTACTCACAGATCCAGAAAACTTTGTCTTGGGTGAATGTAACTTCCAGGTTTAAGACATGTGATGGTAAGGGACATCCTGGGTTGCTGAATCTCATCCTCTGCATCTAAGCCAACTTCTTTACAGTCTTTCCAGTATTTGGCCAAACCCAGCTTAAAAAGCCCCAGAGAATTATATCCCAGTTTTGCCTCCCATCCCTGCTTCTGAAGGAAATCCCTTTATGGACGCTCCTAAAGGCTTTCCATGCTGCCTTAGTCCAGTGCCTCACAGTCCTCCTGTGACTGAATAGTCCACCCCTGTTACCTTCATACTTGGATGTTCCACCAAGCCAGAAAACACGAAATTGCTACTCTACCCTTAATTGGTTTAGTGGTGGATATGGTAATGTTAGGTTAATGGTTGGACTGGATGATCTTAAAGGTCTTTTCCGACCTAAGCGATTCGATGATTCTATGATTCTATGTTTCCCTTTGTGGGTGCTCGCCGCAACGTGCCTCATACTGCCCATGCCTCTGGGCTTCCCTGCTCTTCATACCGCATCCTGATCACCTTCTCGCAATCTCTCCTGCCAGCTGATGGGCTTCCAAATGGAAAATAACCTCCCCTGGAGGGTGTGCACCTCCTGAAATTTCTGTTTCACATAATGGGAACGCAGCGTGAGTACAAAATCCCAATGCGGAGCACTGCTTTGTCTTCAAATTTGCATACTTGTTGTGGCTGCCTACACCTGCAGGGCTTATCTTGGGCTTCAGTACGGGTTCCAGCCCTGGGGAAGCCTGTCTCTGCAGACGCAGCTGCCAATGTCAGGCGTCAGGGAACTTTGGAAAGCTGTTGGTGATTTTGGGCCATTTCAGAAATGGCTGGTGCCGCTCACTTTATTTCCATGCCTCAGTGTGACTTTCCTCCAGTTTTGCCAACTTTTTATGGTTCCACATGTGCCACATCACTGTGACACCAGCTGGATCCGTGCCATCGGCCCCAGACTGACGGAGGAAGAGCAGCTGAACCTCACCCTGCCCCGGGATGCAGACGGGGCGTACGAGCAGTGCTCCATGTACTCACCGGTGGACCGGGACCTCGCCTCCATCGTGGCGTATGGCCTGAACGCCACGGAGAAATGCAGCAGTGGCTGGGTGTACCCCTCAGGTCATGAGGTGACGCTGGTCACTCAGGTTTGTAGCACCCTTTTGTTTCCCATTGCTTTGTGCTGTGGTAAATGCTGTTTTGAAGGCTGGGGTGTGCTGAGCTCAAGCAGGGCATGCCTGGAGGCAATGCTCATTCTGTGCTTTGGCTTTGGTGCACAAGATCTTCCCCAGCTGCATCAGATCGATTCCTCCTGACCTTTAGCAAAAGCCATGGAAATGTGTGTCATGGACACATGCCCTGGTCAGGTCCTGAGGAGGCCATCTCAGCCCAGAGATGTGACTTCGCTCCAATCAACCATTGCTGCTTCCTCACATGTTGCTGGAAACCTCCAGCAACAGGGTTCCCACTCCTTCCTTTGGTCCTCGGTCCATGGCCTTGGTATCCTCCAGCCTCCTTTAAGTGTGATGCCCAGCTCAGGCTCTCCAATGCTGGTCAGAGCAGAACAGACCCCATTTTCTCTCTCCTAAGTCCTGGCAGTGTTTTGTGCCAGTCCTCTGGCTCCTGCTTCTCCAGATCCATGAGACCCATGACTGGTGTCCAACTGACCCTCCCGGGCTTCCCCATTTAAACCATGACAGAGAAGAGTGGATGAGGCTGCTTTATGCCCTGGACTTCTTCTAGCATGGAGCCAGGAGACGGCCAGGGGAGAAGGCAGGTCAGGCCTGGGAAAGGCTCCTGAGTTCTTAGACATGTGTGATTCTGCTTTTAGCAAGGTTTGGCCTGTCCCGTCTCCTGCTGATGAAGCAGATCCCAAGGTGAACAGGGGCACCTCAATTTCGTCCTCCATCTGAGTTTCCTAGTTGACTTGAACAGACCCAATTTGTGTCATCCAGCACCTCTGCCACATTCAGTATCTGCCTGCTTTTCTCTGTCTTTGGTGCTCCCTGCTTGTGGCTGCTAAGCTGGGCTTATCCTGAGGGCAGCATCTCTCCTCTGGCTGCCCAGGGAGCTGGTGTACCTCCAAGTTTGACCCATGCATGTGCTCTGCTCAACCCAAATGGGACAGCCATGGTCCAATTTCCATCATGCTTCTACAATGCTCTTCCCACAGATCTGTGGGCAGGAGAAGGAACATCCAAGTTGCTTTTGGGCATTTCTGGAGGCTTTTCCTCATGGACAGCCCATCAGGGCCCCAGGCAAATGCTGTTCCTATGTCAGGGATGGGCTCAACAGAGTTGATTTCATGTTCTCAATGATCATTTTAAGGCAGGAAGGCATCTGATCTGAGATTTGCCAAGCCTGCTTCAAGCAGCATTGCCCTGTGTCAGATTTCTCCCATCTCTGTATGCCTTCCCCAAGTCTTCCCTGCACATAGCCCCCACCAGCCTGGGGGGTGGCCCAGAACTGGTGGGAGGGGTGGACGTTCCGTGCATGGCTTGCTTGTGGTTGCACAGGGAAGCTGCAAAAGATGAAGGCAATGGAGTCTCCCACTGCCTGGGACTACAGCCAACTTGTCCTCCCTTCCTCATCTCCAGCTCTGCCCATCCATTAACATCACTCCCTTTATTCCCCTGGACTTTTCCCAGCTCTGCATCACACTGGGCTATCTTGGCCCCTCTGAACCTTGCTTGCCCAAGTGGAACGACCGGGGACCATCTCAGCAGTTCAGCAAATGCAACTCCTGCAATTGCTTTGGAGAAGAGTCTTTTCCCCCAGCAATGCCAACTGGCCCTGTCAGAGGGGGTGATCCAGGTTGCCTGAAACAGGGGTCCTTCTGCTCCAGCCAGCACTGTATGTTTGTGAGTGGCACAGAGGTGATTAATATATTACACTGTGTACTTAGGACAGGTAAAACATCAGGCATTAAATCTATCCTGACTTTACGTATTTGTGGTGGCTGCCTACAATTGCAGAGCTTATCTTAGGTTAAACATTAATTCCAGCCCACTGGTAAGTCTGTCCCAGCACTGTCCTGTTCCAGACGCAGCTGCCAATGTCAGGCATCGGGGAAATTTTGAAAGCGGTTGGTGATTTTGGGCCATTTCAGAAATGGCTGGTGCTGCTCACTTCGTTTCCAGGCTTCAGTGTGGCTTTCCACCAGTTTTGCCAACTTTTTATGGTTCCACACGTGCCACATCACTGTGACACCAGCTGGATCCATGCCGTTGGCCCCAGACTGACGGAGGAAGAGCAGCTGAACCTCACCCTGCCCCGGGATGCAGATGGAGCGTACGAGCAGTGCTCCATGTACTCGCCGGTGGACTGGGACCTCGCCTCCATCGTGGCGTATGGCCTGAATGCCACGGAGAAATGCAGCAGTGGCTGGGTGTACCCCTCAGCACAACCACCATCCCTGCTGACCGAGGTCTGTAATCGTCTTTTGATGTGCCGGGGACGTGGAAGGGATGGGACACCCAAACGGCTGCCCTGTCCTGCAGTTCAGTCGAAGCTGGTGCAGGCCATGGTGCAGCTGGGCTGGGCTGCTAGTTTGGGGACCTTGGCTCCACCACCCAACACCCAGGTGTGGTCCTGGAGAGGTTGCAGGCAAGCAGGCTGTGATATAGATGTCGGCGGGACCACAGGCAGAGCCAGTGGAGACATTAATCACTTCTGGTGGGACCTTTTTGGTCTCCCTGCCCCAGCTGCCCCTCTGCAGACTGACGGTAACCTTCCATCTTGTCCCCATGTACAGCTTTGTGCTTTGGACACCCGGCCAGGGGAAGGAGGCAGGCTCAGCACTTGGTTTCTCCTCCCATGCATGGTGGGGAACTTGTCAGGGTGAGAGGCTGTGGGGTGTCTGCCTCGGGGTGTCAGTGTGGAGACCCCAGCTCAGGGTTGTTACGAACAGCCCGAGCACCTCACTGCTCCTCACTCTGGGTGGAGGTACCAGGTCTGATGAGGAGAGGAGAGCTTGCAAAGCCACACATCTGGCAGTCACCTGGAGCTTCAGCAACACCAACAGTGCTCCAGTGAGCAGGGCTAACCTTCTTTCAGTGCTTTCTGACCTCTCTGTTTCCTATACATATTCCTATATATATTTCCTACACATGCCCTCTGGATGCTGGCAGTTGCAGAACATCTCTTTAACAGAAACTGCTTGGCCTGGGAATCACTGTTGCACTCATCCTTTTTCCTTTGGGAGAGAAGGCAGTCTAGGAGAAGCAAGGTGCTGGGACTTCTGTCCCAAGCCCCAGTTTAAGCAAAACTTGCCAACCAGGAGGCTCCCCTGGGGGTACCTGGGCTGGAGGGGAGTCCAGCAGGTCCCAGTGTTTGGGAGAGGGGCACCACTGAGTGTCCCACAGGCTTGTCCCACCATTGACTTGTGTGCTATGTGCACACCATGGGAACTCACATCCTTGGAGGTGGGATCAGAAAGTGTCTGGAGCCTGTCGAGAGCAAAAGCAGCTCTATTTCCTTCCTGCAGTTTGACCTGGTGTGTGACAGAAAGGACCTGAACGACATCTCCCAGTCCATCTACATGATGGGGCTGTTCCTAGGATCCATGCTCTTCGGGCCATTAAGTGACAGGTGAGGAGACACAGCCACCCATCCAGGGTCTGTGCAAAGCCGGCAGTGCGCAGAGTAGCACACTGCTCCCAGCCTGGCTGGTCACTGCACCCTGTGCATTTTGTCACTGCTCCTCACTAACAGGGACCCTGACCAAAGTCCTCAGGTCCTGTGACGACATGGCCATAGTGGGGGTGGAAGGGAGAAGGGCACAACCTGTGCACAGGGTGCTTCACATGTCAACCGGGAGTCCAGTCTGAGCCTCATCACCCTCAAAAGAGGGCGATACGATCATGGTGTGACCCACTGAGCTCTTCTCCGTCTCCATGAGGTCACTCCAAGTACTAACTGTGTCTTCCCTCTTCCTCCACAGGATCGGCCGCCGACCAGTCATTCTGATTTCCGTCTTCCTCCAGGGCTTGTTTGGTGTAGGAACTGCCTTTGTGTCCCATTTCTATGTGTACATGGCCTTCAGATGTGTCGTGGGGGCTTCCGTGTCAGGGATCACCATGACAATACTGGCCTTAGGTGAGTGGGATGCCCATGCCTTGAGGCAGATAGATGTGGCCTCTCAAAATGCAATAGGAAATATCTGTAAAGAAATAAAAATCATCATGTGTGGCGTGAAAAACACCGTGGTTAGGACAGCTCTTGCTCTGCACTGTTCTTTGGCACTTTGGCATCTCCTCAACCCTGAGTGAGAACCACGGGGAGCATCTCTCCCACGCCAGTGCTCAGAGGAGGGCAAGGGGACAGCCTTCCAGCTCAGGAAGTCAGTGTGGGCAGAGAGCCAGTGGCTCTGGGACATGATCGATTTGGGCCCCAGCTCTGCCACGGTGAGGGGCTCTGTGGACGCTGAGAGCAAAGAGGTGATATACCTGAGCTTCATGTCCTCTGGCAGAGGACCAGGATACCCAGACAATAAGGAGAGGTGATGCATCTCATGAACCACTGGTGACTTGCATATGTGACTGATGCCAGAGCTGGTTGCTCCTCACCTCCAGGAGAGCTTTTCTCCAGGGAAAACACCCTGTATGTGTCAGGGGAAATCATTTGCATGGATAACTCTGAACCTTCATTCTTCTTCGCAGCTACAGAATGGGTCGGTGTCTCCTCCCGGCCAAAGGCAGTGCTTATTTCTCACTGCTGTTTCGCCATCGGACAGATGCTTCTGGCTGGTTTGAGTTACGGTATTCGCAACTGGAGGCTCCTGCAGATTGCGGGATCTGCTCCTATATTTGCCTTTTTCTTCTGCATTCAGTAAGTGGGACGCGGGCAGAGCTCCTTGCAGACAGGACAGCAGTGGGTGTGAGG